CATCCTATGTGGGCACTGGTTCAAGTACCGGCTGTTCCACTTCTGATCCAGTTCTCTGCTCATGGCCTGGGAAAGCAGTGGAAGATGGCCCAAATGCTTGGGCTCCTGCACCCATGTGGGCAACCCTGAAGAAGCTCCAGGCTTCTGGCTTTGGATCCACCCAGCTCTGGCTGTTGCAGCCATTTCGGGAATGAACCAGTGGATGGAAAACCTCCATGTCTGTCTCCGTCTCAGTCTCTCTGCCTCTCTGTAACTGTGCTTTTCAAATAAATAAATAAATCTTAAAAAAAAAAAAGAAGTCACCTGGTGAGCAGAAGCAGTATTTTGGGCTGTGCCTAAGAAATAAAGGGCCAGTACTGTGGCACAGCTGGTTAAAGCCCTGGCCTATAGCGCTGGCTCCCCATATTGGTGCCGGTTTGAGTTCCAGCTGTCCACTTACAATACAGCTCTCTGCAATGGCCTGGGGAAGCAGCAGAGGATGGCTCTACACCCATGTGGGGGACCTGGAACAAGCTCCTGGCTCCTGGCTTCAGATTTGCTTAGTTCTGGCCATTGTAGCCACTTGGGGAGTGAACCAGTGGATGGAAGAACTCTCTTTGTTTCTGCCTCTCTGTAACTCTTCCAAACAAATAAAATAAATCTTTTAATAAAATTAAATAAAGGTTCTTTCGTGTTAACTTGTTGAGATTTTAAGACTTTTTCCTTTATAGTATTCAATGTTTTTTATTATATCAACAATTGCAAACAACATAAATACCTAACAAAGTTATCATGATTATTCACTGATAATTTTAATTTTCTTCCTTGTACTATTTTGAATAGTCTTAATTTTATACAACATACACATAGTAACACTGTAATACACAAAATTTTGATTTATAAAAATCAATGACACATATGGTTGGATGGTATACAGTGTTAATGGCATTCAGAAATTAAGAAGTATTATATAAAGAGAAAATATTTTATGCTCATAAAATGTGGTTGGGCAGAAGAAAAAATTTGTTTCCATTTCCCTTAGAGTTGAATTTAACTATATGTAATGGAAAACAGGTGATTTTATGCGGAAAGAATGTTATACATCAACTCTCACACATTCTTAAGAGTCTGTGTATGTATGTGTTGTCGTATCTAATAAGAGCCAAATACAGACTTGGCCAAGTAAATGACCATGTGTGACTGGATTCTTAACGCTCTTGACAATCATCGTGAATGACTAATTGCCCTGGAAAACAAAAAAATTAGCTTTATTAGTAGACTTAATAGGACAGAAAAGCATATCTGATTTTCTTTCTGTTCTTTTGTTTTTAAGATTTATATATTTATTAGAAAGAGTTACAGAGAGAGAGGGAGAGAGAGCGAGAGCTTCCATCCGCTGGTTCGCTCCCCAAATGACTGCAATAGCCAGGTCTTGGCTTGATGCCAGGAGCTTCATCCAGGTCTCCTACATGGGTGGCAGGAGCCCAAGAACTTGGACCATTTTCTGCTTTTCCCAGGCCATTAGCAGGGATCTGGATCAGAGCAGAACAGGTGGAATACAAACTAGCAGCCGTATGGGATGCTGGCATCTCAGGAGGCAGCTTAACCTGCTGTACCATGATGCTGGTTTTGACTGAATTTTAAAGTACATTGAATATACTTAATGAAGAGGTTATTCTTCGATACATTTACATGTTTCCAGAGCTATGGCCTGAGCTGTGTGCTTACTGAGGGTTGTTGGGTCTGATGTTTGTTTTCTACTCTGTGTACAGGCTACTAAGTTAGTTGACTTTTATTTCATGGATGCTAACAAAAGACATGAGACTCCTGGATCAGAGACAAAAGACTTATTACTCATGGCATAGCAATCCCACGTTTCCAAGACTCACAAGAGGAGTGTCACTGGCCCAGATGGATGCTACAAATGCACTGGTTTGTATTACAGCAGAGAAACGTTAGACTTAAGGAGTGTACATCTTTAATAGCAAGCAGTAAGTGAGCCTACTCTGGGAAGATATTATGTTGCCTCCTAAAGTTGTCACATAAATGACTGTGGAGAAATGGCCTTAATACTACAGCATGTAGGAAGTTGCAATCTTGGCACAAGCTGCTTCAAAAATTGCCCTTAGGTGCAGTATGGACAAGACAACTATGAAAAACATAAACACGTGTGATAAAAAGCACATGGATCTTACACATGATACATTCTAGGCCTGGCCTGTGAAGTAATATCAATGAAATTGGTACATGCACACCCAAAATAAATAAATGACATTAAATCAAAAGACTGACAAACGAATGCACATTTATGTCAAGGTGAAAATATTTAAGGAAGGCCTGTGTTTCTGACCCAGTGCTTTACCTACTTTTTCTTAAGTTTTTTTTGTTTATTTTTTTATTATTATAAATTTAGTTTTATTTATTTATGTCTTGGTTCTTGCTTATTTGAAAGTCTATAACCTTAGTTTTTTTTTAACTTTTATTTAATGAATATAAATTTTCAAAGTACAGAATATGGATTACAATGGCTTCCCCCCCATAACGTCCCTCCAACCTGCAACCCTCCCCTTATCCACTCCCTCTCCCCTTCCATTCACATCAAGATTCATTTTCAATTCTCTTTATATACAGAAGATCAGTTGAGCATACATTAAGTAAAGATTTCAACAGTTTGCTCCCACACAGAAACATAAAGTGAAAAATACTGTTTGAGTACTAGTTATAGCATTAAATCTCAATGTACAGCACACTAAGGAAAAAGATCCTACATGAGGAGTAAGTGCACAGTGACTCCTGTTGTTGACTTAACAAACTGACACTCTTGTTTATGGCCTCAGTAATCACCCTAGGCTCTTGTCATGAGCTGCCAAGGCTATGGAAGCCCCCTGAGTTCACCGACTCTGATCATATTTAGACAAGGCCATGGTCAAAGTGGAAGTTCTCTCCTCCCTTCAGAGAAAGGTACCTCCTTCTTTGATGACCCATTCTTTCCACTGGGATCTCACTCATGGAGATATTTCATTTAGGTGTTTTTTTTTCCCCCTGAGTGTCTTGGCTTTCCATGCCTGAAATACTCTCATGGGCATTTCAGCCGGATCCGCATGCCTTAAGGGCTGATTCTGAGGCCAGAGTGCTGTTAGGACATTTGCCATTCTTTGGGTCTGCTGTGTATCTCGCTTCCCATGTTGGATCATTCTCTCCCTTTTTGATTCTATCAGCTAGTATTTGCAGACACTATTCTTGTTTATGTGATCCCTTTGGTTCTTAGTCCTATCATTACGATCAATTGTGAACAGAAATTGATCACTGGGACTAGTGAGATGGCATTGGTACATGACACCTCGATGGGATTGAATTCGAATCCCCTGGTATGTTTCTAACTCTACCATTTGAGGTAAGTCAGCTTGAGCATGTCCCGAATTGCACATCTCTTCCCTCTCTTATTCCCACTCTTATATTTAACAACGATCACTTTTCAGTTAAGTTTCAGCACTTAAGAAGAATTGTGTATTGACTACAGTATTCAACCAAAAGTATTAAGTAGAACAAACAAACAAAAATACTAAGAGGGATAACATATTAAGCTGCTCATCAACAGTTAGGGTGAGGGCTGATCAAGTCACCGTTTCTCATAGTGTTCATTTCACTTTAACAGGTTTCCTTTTTGATGCTCAGTTAGTTGTCACCTATCAAGGAGAACAAGTGGTATTTGTCCCTTTGGGATTGGCTTATTTCACTCAGCATAATGTTTTCCAAATTCCTAACAGGGATCACTTTTCAGTTAAAATTTAAACACCTAAGAATAATTGTGTGTTAATTAAAGAGTTCAACCAATGGTACTAGAACAAAAAAAATACTAAAATGGATAAAGTATTACATTGTACATCAACCGTCAGGACAAGAGCTGATCAAGTCACTGTTTCTCATAGTGTCCATTTCACTTCAACAAGTTTCCCCTTTGGTGCTCAGTTACTTGTCGCCAATCAGGGAGAACATATGATATTTGTCCCTTTGGGACTGGCTTAATTCACTCAGCATGATGTTTTCCAAATTCCTCCATCTTGTTGCAAATGACTGGGTTTCGTTGTGTTTGACTGCTGTATAGTATTCTATAGAGTACATGTCCCATAATTTCTTTATCCAGTCTACTGTTGATGGGCATTTGGGTTGGTTCCAGGTCTTAGCTATTGTGAATTGAGCTGCAATAAACATTAATGTGCAGACTGCTTTTTTGTTTGCCAATTTAATTTCCTTTGGGTAAATTCCAAGGAATGGGATGGCTGGGTTGAATGGTAGGGTTATATTCCGGTTTCAAGATCACTAGAAATCAGAGAAATGCAAATCAAAACCACAATGAGGTTCCACCTCACCCCAGTTAGAATGGCTCACATTCAGAAATCTACCAACAATAGATGCTGGAGAGGATGTGGGGAAAAAGGGACACTAACCCACTGTTGGTGGGAATGCAAACTGGTTAAGCCACTATGGAAGTCAGTCTGGAGATTCCTCAGAAACCTGAATATAACCCTACCATTCAACCCAGCCATCCCACTCCTTGGAATTTACCCAAAGGAAATTAAATTGGCAAACAAAAAAGCAGTCTGCACATTAATGTTTGTTTATTTGAGAGGTGGAGCTACAGACAGTGAGAGGCAGAGAGAGAGGTCTTCCTCCCCTTGGTTCACTCCCCAGATGGCCACAACAGCCGGAGCTGCACCGATCCGAAGCCAGGAGCCAAGTATTTCTTCCCAGTCTCCCACGCAGGTGCAGGGGCCCAAGGACTTGCGCCATCTTCTACTGCTTCCCCCGGCCACAGCAGAGAGCTGGATGGTCAGAAGGGCAGCTGGGATGCCGGCACTGCAGGCCAAAGATTAACTTACTGGGCCATGGAGATGGCCCCCCTACTTTTCAACTATTGTAGTTTCTACTATTTTACTCTTCTTCCATTTCAAGAAATTCTTATGTTACATGTTGATGTGAGTGTCCTGATAGACTCACGCACAGCACAGATCTGAACTCACCTGTGTTTCCTGCAGAGTGTGATGACCCCATGGTGCCGAAAGCCTTGCTTTGACTGGTTTGTAAAGGACTTCCTTTCACAGAGCGTGTCTCTTCTCTCCCAGGAGAAGCACCTTCTCAGGTCGTTGGACATGACAGCAAACCGAGCTACCTGAACAGCTGGTTTCTGGGCTGTCAGTCACTCATGTGAAGGCCTTTGCTGGCAACAGGACAGTTTCCAGAGCCAAAGTCCACTACAAATGAAGAATAGAGGAAGGGTCTTAGTAGCTACAGAATGTATCATACCGCAATGACTTGAGAGATGTTTTTCCAGAATTTTCCATGAATCAGCGCTGCCTGTGACTGCTGCTGCCTTTTCCTTGGACAGCGGGCGCTGAGGTTCACACCTGTGCTTCAGTCCAGCTGGAAGCCTGGATCCACAGAAGGGAGGACGCATGGCCTCATCGGAGGAGTTCCAACCACAGCCATCAGCATCGCTGTGCTTAAGAGCGGCTCAGCTGTGGCAAGCAGTGCCTTTATTTTATAAGCCTGGAGGTTCTTGCAACAGGCCCATAAACACAGGGGCACATCCACACTCATCAAGTTCAAAGATTTAAAAACTTATCTCATGACCACCGGAAATGACTTGGCAATAGCTCGGTCTAGATTCTTACGGAAACCAAATTCTGTTGAAAATGCCACATTGTAATCCACGACTGACAAATTGCTGCACTGACTAGGATTAATATATTAAGAAGTATAAGGAAATAAGGACTGTGGGAAAAAATTAGTAGCGAATTTTCCAACAATTAGAGCTCTCTGGAACATATGTAAGCGAACCCCTGAAAAACACAAAAGCTTCATTTATCCTGTGCCTGTAACTATTAACTCCGGCTTTGCAAACTCTCAGCCAGCCACGGCTCTCCTTCCTGGGCTCTGTCCCTGGTGCATCCCCAGTAATTTGATTGACAAAAATGACCTCTGGAGGCAAAAGCAGGGAACAGTTCCAGATTTAGACTACCAGGGAAAAGAAAGAGATTATCAAAGATCTAAATAATGCAACCAATAGGAAAGCATCCTAGTAAATCATACTAACCCAGCTAAATTGGATAGCACTGTCCATATACAATTACACCAGTTGGCTCCCATGACAGCCTTTAAATGTGACATGTTATTTGACATGTTTGCAATTAGGGTTTAGAAAAAAATCAATTTTCTTCTATTCCACTTAAAATAAAAAATGTACTGTTTTTCAATGAAATGTACCTTTTTTAAAATTCAAGACAGACCAAAAACTAATAGCAGACCAAACGTATCACAGCCGCATTATGAAGATAGACACTTAAAGTCCAATTTTATTAGACTTTATGAAAGGGCAGAAACTAGGAGTAATTACCAGCAGGTTGTATTTACTTTTGCATCATTATCCTTATTCACTTTGCCTCGAGACTTTGAAGGGGCTGGGAGGTAGGCAGTGACCTGGTGGCTCAGTGAGCTCCTGACCTGCTCTGTGGGGACTACACATGCTCCTGTCTCATACGGCGGGCAGGCGCCCCCCTTGACCACTCTGAGCCCCCGCAGAGGACCAGGCAAAGGCGCCTCCTTCCCTTCACCACCCACTTCCCTGCAGTGCTGGGTCCAAACAGCTCTCAACAGTCCCTGTACACTGACGACCGGTAAATACTCAAAGACGAGATTCTCAACAATGCGGCCATCTGATCATCCTTCTTTCTGTCTCTTGGTTCCTTACGGCTTCTCATAGCCTCTGAAAAATGTGTAATGAACAGTTGACTTTTTTTTCTTTGAGGCAAACATTTTGACTTCTCCCATACTTCTTGGCATCTTGACATATAAGAGGGAAATACTGGTAATCATAACCAAGGGCAATAATAAGAGCACTGTGTGGTTTGTGCACTGGGCACTGTTCTAAGTGAGTGATTTATATGAATCATCTCAGCTGAATTTCATTGACCCTATAGCCACCATTACAGATTAAGGGGTCCCAACAATTCCTAGGTAAATGATCGTAATCTGTTAGCTACTTTAACACAAATAAGAGGTTTATGATCGCGTTGTGATGAGTGGAAACGTTGCCAGGCCCAGACATCCACGTCCGAAACTCCCCAAACTGTGAATATATTATCTTGGTGGCCAAGGGACTATGTGAAGATGACTAAGACTCTTGAGGTTGAAAGAGTGCCCTGGGGTATCTGGAGGGGCCCGGTGTAAGAGCAGGGGTCCAGGAGAGAAACCTGAAGATGTTCAGTTGCTATCCATGAAGACAGAAGAAGGGCTCCCAAGCCGAGAAGTCATGGGGCCTCTAGAAGCTCCAACAAGCAATGGACAGATTCTCTCCCAGAGCACTTACAAGGAGCACCACCCTGCTGACACCTTGACTTCAGCCCAGTGGAGCCCACTATGGCGTTCTGACCTCCAACACTGAAGTCATAAATGTGTTGCCTTAAGCGACTGGGATTGTAGGGATTTGTCACAGCAGCAATAGGAAGCCAACACAATCACAAGTCGCAGTGTAAAGTGTTAAGTGTTACAAGATGGTGTGAGCAAGTGCAGGCCTCAGAGAAGAGGCTCAGGGCAGTCTCAATCCACTGTGAAGTTAGAGGGAACCCAAGCATGAAAACCTGTCCTCGCTCTGACTCCAACTGCAGGTTCCGGGGACGACGAAAACCACCCTTCAATGGGACAGTTCTCTAGAACTCACACAGCTCCCTGGAAGCTTTAAGACCCATGGTTTGGTGTGTTATAGGACAAGAATGTAGGGTAAAAACAGCAGAAGGAAGAGGCACACGCAGCACACGTATCAGCATACATATCAGGCTCAAAGACGCCCCGTCCTCTCCCTGTTGAGTCACGGACAGTCTCTCCTTCCTAGCACTGGAGTGTGGCATGGTGGATGGCCAACCAGGGAACTGAACCCTTGCAGAGTACTCATCGGGGCTGGTCATACAGTGAGTTGACTGACTGCAAGCACGGTTCATCTCAGTTTTCAACTGCTGCCATGCGAGTCAAAGCCTCCATCCTACACTGTGTTGTAGGTCCCCACTCTGAACACTGTGTGATGTGATCACCTTATACCCTAAACCATAATGTTAGACAACCCTGCATGATCCTTGGCCCCAATAACAGGCACAACACTCTGAGGCCCCAGAGGTTGTCACCCAGAAACTAAAGTCCGATCTCTCAGCTAAGACTCAACTCTTCACTACTAACAACGCAGAGCTCAGTTGCACGGTGAGTGGAATTTGTCCAACTGCAGTAATGGAAGAGAAAGGCATTGAAGACATGGAAAACGACATCAACGGAAGCAGAACACGTTCAAAGAAAATGCCAGTTGTCCGATGACTCTGAATATGGGATCCTGGGTGTTGGAAGATGGGAGTGGCTACAGACAACTGATCTTAAAGGGTGTGATGCTACGTAAAGGAGTTGTGTGGAGAGTAATGCCCACTTGGAAGATCTGTAATCTAAGTCTTTATGCCCCATACTTTATCCTTCAGGAATTTATGGTCCATTGGAATTTTTCTAACTTTTATTTATTTGAGGAGAGAGATAAAAACTCATATCTGCTAGTTCCTGAAATATAGCAGGCTGAGCCAAGAACTCTATCCACATCTCCCAAGCGGGCAGGAACCCCACTACGTGAGCTTCCATGGCTACCTCTCAAGGTCTACACTGGGAGGAAACTGGGGTCAGGAAGCAATGGTGGGACTCGAACCCAGGTTCCGTGATGTAGGCAGTGAGTATCCTGCATGCATTTTTCAAGCTGGGTCACGCATATTGATAAGGAAGAAGGAAATCCTGTTTTTCTGTTACAATTGACAACAGAGCTAAACAATCTGCTCAGAGGAGACCAATCCCCAGGGTGCTAGACAGACACTCCACAGTGGGGCTGGCAGGGCTGCTTCTGGCTTCCTCCCAACATCTGTAAAATGCAGTGTGAATAGCTGAAACGCTCAAGGTGGGATAGAGCAGACCTCGAAGCATATTTCTAGGAAATTGCCCAACCAGCACATGGCTAGGCTTACAGGGAGCTTCCCTTAAACTCAGTCATTTAACCTCAATTTTATCCCCAAGAGAGTTCCCCTTCTACAAAGCTGTGATGGTCAACGGAGATAATGAGAATCTCATCATTATCTTCCATTCAGCTCAGAAATGCCCACGGGGCTTCCCGCACGAAAGAATACCCCTGTCAATTTATTTTAACAACCAGGTGGTGTCTAAATAAAAACTTGGAATTTTTCAATGGAGAAAATTGTACCATGTGCTTGCCAGAGAGGGAGGGTTGCAGGATTTCAGCGCCTACAATCTCAGCATAAACACTCGGATTTGCTTTTTGTGTGACCTCATGTCCAGCACCTATGTATGGGATTTTATATTTGTTGCTAAGGACCAGCACATATGGAGACAGCTGTAATCAAGGGTACCCGTACGAATTTCCATTCACATGACACAAAATGTCTTTGTCTTCCATGAGGTTCCTGAGCCCACCTAGTAGCCCTCTGTTGAAGATGGAAACAAAGAAATAGGAGACCTGGAGCCCATTTTTCTCAACAATCTATGATCTACTTAATGACATGACTCAGTGGCCACAGAGATGGCCGTGGAAGAAAACTGCTGAATTTTGCAGAGGAACAACACAGAAATGCCAGTTGGGTGTGGATTTCAGGAACAACGGCTGCTTTTAAGAATTCTATAAGAACGTCCCAAATGTCGCACACGGTACACTTATATTTTTTTAAAAGCCTTCCTTTTACCTGAAAATCATATTCCACTGGGTGCCCTGTATTTTATCTGGCAACCTGACGCAAGCTCTATCAGAACAGGAGCCCTCTTGGGGTCCAAAGCAGAAACGTATCAGGAGAATCTCAAGGAAGCAGAGGCTGAGACAGAGCCGGGGTGGGGGTCGGGGACAGGGATGGGTGGGGACACCAGCAGACTGTCACGCTGACCTGATGGTCCCTGCCAGCCCAGCCAGGAGCTCTGAACGAGGACTGAGGGCCATCAGATCATGCTGTGTCTCCCAACTTCCACCCACGGTAGCTCCTTCTCAGCCAAGTGCCAGTGCCAAAAACGCTATCACTAAAATGTCATCGCTGCTCAACAGCAGAGAATTGGTAAATTCCCCTTTTAACACTGAGATAAGACAGGAGCTGTCAGTATTATTTTATTAAGAAAAGGCTTAAAACCCAGCTTCCAAGCCAGTCTAGAGAGTATGAACACATTTTATTAACATTGT